TTCATTATTTGCCCTTTTTTAAAAAAAATTTTCCTAAGCCTTAGAGTCTTTACTATTTAATATCCTAATAAAATATTACAGGAAGGGCGACACAAGGTAGTGGTCTGGAATCCAGTCAACTTCATATCTTAGCTTTTCCATTCGCTGACTGGGAAACTAGACAAATTACATTGCCTATTACTCTTTGCTTTCTCGTTTGAAAAAATTGAGATAATAATTATGTATAATACAAGTTTTATGACTTTTATGTGTGTCTTAGCATAAGGTAAGCACCTAGTGAATGATAGCTGTTATTATAATTAACTATACGAACCTCATTACTTGCTTTTTTATATCCCCCTTAGAAAGCTATTATTTGTGGACCAAGTGTAGTGGTTCTTAAAGGCAAACATTTTTGTTTTCCCAAGGGGACATATAAGAATGTCATGACTTGAATGGGAGGATTGCTACCAGTATTTTTGTAGCGAGTAGATAGAGATGGTGCTAAACTCATCCTCCAGCACACAGGACAGCTTCTCACAACAAAGAATTATCCAGCCTAAAATACCAGTAGTGCTGATGTTGAAAAACCCTAAAGGAATCTAGACTAAACATCTTTTAAATAACCTCTTTCATTTTTTTCCCCCAGTATGTTAGCTATTGTACTTATTTGGTATTTATTTAATGTATTTTTTTTAAGTTAAAAAGTTTGGTGAATAAATTCACACACAAGATTTCCTCCTTCCTTCACCTGAAAGCTTCAGTTTAGTAACTGTAATTATTTTAACATTTAAGAATTTGACCTTTCATACTCTAATAATATTGTTTAACAATTGTCATGCACTAAACCATTTTATGTAATGCTTAATCTTCACTGCGCAGCACTATAAGTATCCCCTTTCTACATTTGAGAAAACTGAGGCACAGAGAATGAGAAGTATGTGTGAAGCTCGAATTTGATCTCAGGCAATCAAAGTCTACAATCTGCTGTTGCCCCCTTTGCAACTTTCTAGTAGTCTCCAGGCTCTGTTGTCTTACCAAATGCATCCAAGTCAAAGCTCTATGAGAACAACTCTAGGACTCCTTTGTATAGTAACAGAGTGAGTCTGAAGTTAGGCAAATTAGGAATACCCTGAACTAGATTAGTTTTCTTTTTGAAGTAAGAATTCCTTTTTCTTTCACGCATGCTATCAGAAGTGCAAAGTTTTAAAATTACAACAAACTAATAAATAAATAAAAATAAAATAAAATAAAAAAACACCAAACTTTAATATTAACTCTCTTTTCCTTTTGGTTCTTATTTTCAAATGGATAAATGAGGTATTCCACAACTGTTTGTCCACTGCCAGTTGGCCTAATGGAACAGAATTTCTCCCAGCACTCTGCGTAATAGTATAGCTGTGAAGACCACTCTACAGTTAGCATAGATCTTAGTTCTTTAGGCATGGTGATCTTCTAATACTGTGTTAGATTTAATATTTAATAGTTTTTTTTAACGTTGGCCAAACAAAATTAATGATTATAAAACCCCATATTCTCGTGGTTAGCATATATTTGCTTTTGCAATTATTTTTCCATCCAAGAGTTTAAAGTTCTTAAGATACTAATTTTATCATTGGTTGAGACCTTGATTTTCAGCCATATATGGTTAGCTTAAGTAAAACTATTAGATGCCTTATTGATATTGACATGCCTGCTACTGTAGGAGAACACGACCCTGGAGTGATGGGTAGAAAGAAAATTCTGAGGTCTTTTCCTTACATAGATCTTTCAGTAAGAGACTAGGGAAGGCAATTTGCCTCTTTGTATTCTTTAGCTATCTAACTGTTAGTAGCTGAATTTGTATCGTAAAGAATTTAAAAGGGCTATTAAGTTAACATATGTTTAATCTGTCTCCACATTGACATTTGGGAATTTGCTTTGGAAACTTACATTATCCCTATAATATCAACATAATGCCTAGTATTGTCTTTATTTCAACATAAATAAATGGCCTCAAACAGCTTCATTCCTGTTGCTCTGCATCTCTCCTAAGATCTTTTCTCCTCAACTTCTTTAGTTTTTTTTTTTTTCTTTTTCTTTAAAGACTTACTCATTGATTTGAACTCCATGAGAACCTCTGTCTATGTGAATTCTCCTGTTTAAACTGCTGAACAAAAAATTTCCATGTCTGAGTCAAAGACAAAGGCAAAGAGAAATCACTTTGTTGTTCATTATCAGAAAACAAAGGTTTTCTATTGCGCAAAATAATTCTGGAGCTGTGATTCCAGAATAAGCTCCTCATACTAACCTTAGCTCCATCTCTTTATTATTTCAGGAAAGTTCACATACTGCCTTTTTCTAGATAAATAACTGCCAGAATAGTAGCCCTGGAGGTGAGTTCCTTCATTGTGTAATGAAGGAAAGAATCATATTCCACAGAACCTAGGCTTTGAAAAGCTTGCTGACTGAGCCTAAGAATCTCATCTTCACAAGAAAGAGTAAGAATAGAAGATGAAGAAATACAAAAAAGAAGAGAGTAGTGTTATATAGTGAGGGAATGTTGAGATTCTACTTAAAGTAGAGTCCTTAGTAAGGGAGGCAGAAGTCAGGAGGATCACTACAAGTCTGAGCTGCATAGTGAGACCCTGCACCCCCCCAATATATA